GATGTGCTGTACTGTAGATGTGTAGTTTGTGTAGTCAGTGGTGTACATTAACCATGGTGTAGTCAATTAGGGCAAATAAGTAATGAATAATGATCCTCTACCTCTCACTTGTCTGAACACAACTAGATTTGTTAAAATTGAGTCATTGCCCTTTCTCCCTTCTAAAGATACCATTGAAATGTTTTGGGTTCCAAAGCCCAGTTTCTAATGTTCCAGTATAGTGTTGAGGCTCTGTTCTTTGAATGAGATTCTAAAACCAAGGTTCTGACTCGCTGTGGTCATTAAAAATCCCAGGGTGTTTTTTTTATAGGAAGAGGGGTGTTACCCTGGTGCCTCCTAATAATCCCCATTTATGAATTGACTGTTCCCTCCCCACTGATAGCTGGTGTGTGGTGAGCCTACTGTGTGTACTATATCATCCAGGTGGTGCTGTACATTGGTGGAGGGTAGTCCCCTTTACCTGTAAGGTGCTTTGAGTGGAGTGTCCAGAAACGTGCTATAAAATTGAACTGAATTATTATTATTATTATTATTATTATTATTATTATTATTATTATTATTATTATAAACTCTGGCTACCCTACAAACCTGAATTGGATGAAGCTGTTAAAATATAAATGGACGGAGGTTTATTTAAACAAATGTGTGTTTTTTTTGCAGCTTCATATTTTAACAACTGTGTGTGTTCAACTATGTAAAAAAAACAGCAGACCACATGCTAGGTTTATTTTACCTGTCATTTTACACTTATAATGGGACACAACATCAACTTTTAAGTTAACAATTTTAAGATCCCTAAAGACTTTGAAAAAGAATGTAAAATACAAATATGTCAAAGCCCCAACAAGTGTCAATGAAGAGAGCCTAGCACTTAATAATCCTCCTGTTCTGATTAATGCACTTAGTGACAAAAGAGAGAGACAAGAACAGTTTAGCAGTGTTTTCTTAACTTTGACCTCTACTGGCATAAAAGTCATCTTGAATAGTTTAAATACATACATTTTGAAGCCAAATATTCTCACTGTTCTATTCAATATAAAGTAAGATTTATAGGTAAAACCCCAAACTCTTCTGAAGCATTTCCAGCCAAGTTTCTTTACAACGCTGTAGTTCTGAATTCTAAGATTAAGTAACCATCCATGAATTATAGCTTCAAATGTCTTCTAGCAACAACTAGTAGTCTTGGAAACACATACATTAAGGCTGCAGCTAGCATCAGAACAATGCTATGGACTAATTCATTTTAAATTTGTATTGTGTACTTTAGTATTATTACAGTGTTGTGCAGTATTCTATAAAACAAAAGCGCATTGTTTATTGGCATCACGATGATGGATGGGTGGAGCAGTGGCTCTGTGGCAAAGGATCTATGCCTGTGACTGGAAGGTTGCTGGTTCAAATCCCATGGCTGGCAGAGGAATCTTACTCCATTGGGCCCCTGAGCAAGGCCCTTAACCCCAACTGCTCCAGGGGTGCTGTACAATGGCTGACCCTGCACTCTGACCCCAAGCTTCTCTCCCTGTCTGTGTTTCCATGGAGAAAAAGCTGGGGTATGTGAAAAAATGAATTCCTAATGCAAGAAATTGTATAGGGCTAATAAAGAAACATTATTATTATTATGAAAACTGGAATTGTTTCAAGGGATTGTTTGTTTTGATATTTTGTATTTTGAAAAAATGCTAAATATTAGGAATTATTTTTTTTTTTAATGAAAAATTTTACACATCATTTACCCCTTACTATTACTGTACTGTCCTGCATTATCTTGGTAGGTTTATTGGTTTCTTGGAAAATTGGCCCTGCTGTGAGTGTGCTCTTGTTTGTGTCTACATGTGCCCTGTGATAGACTGGGTGAACTTGAACTTGAACTTTATTGCCATATGTAACCGGTACTGGTACAATGGAATTCTTACTTACAGAAAGTCTCTCGATTGTAAAACAAGTGTAAAAAACAAAACAAAGTGCAAACAGTGCATCAAGACAATG